GGTCCAATCTTAAAACTATTTGGTTGAAAGATTGGTTGGCAGGGATCTACTGGAGGGATCCTTGGGATTTTTGAGATGGTAGGAAGAACTGGATTCTCAATTCTTTCTATAGCCTTAGATACCTCGGAAAGGATCTTGTTTGAGTAGTTGAGTTGATGCTGGATATTCTTAATCTCTCGAACACCAACTTTCTGGACTTTGTCTTCATCTATTGTTTTATAGGGTGAAGACACCATCTTTATGGCAGGTATCACTAGGTGAGAAAAGGTAGCTTCTTCTTCTGGAGGGAAGGTGGAAGCTGTCTTTGCCTCTTGCTGTTACCCAAACAGTGCCATTTTTAATGACCGCTACCTGTCCTTGGGCTCGAAGTTGTTTGACTAGAGCTTCGTTTTTAGCTAGCTCCCGTTCTTGTATTTTGGAAGTGAAATCGCCAATGGTCATGACGGGTTTCCTTGTTTCTTTTGGTGCAGCAATCCACATATCGATGTATTTGCTGTATAGTTCTTCATAACGTTTCTCGGGTTTCGAGATAACGTTTATTTGATTGAAGGCGGATTCAGTTCTTCTTTCCATGTCGAATTGAGTTGGAAAGAGTGATCCTTCTTCATAATGAACGTCAGGGATTGGATGAGTGAAATGTACTGACGCGCGCATGGATTCAGATCTTTTAAAGGATCTATTAATAGTGCTTACCGACCTTGCATCTGAAGATACGCTTGGACGGCTGCTCATGACTTCTCTAATTCTGGGATATCTCGCCTCAGAATTGAATTGTACTTCGACATTTCCATCTGGAAATTCGGTGATTGATGCCTCCGTATTAGTCCTTCTAGCGGGGGCTGATACTCCTTGAAGTCTCCAGATAGTGTTTCTAGAGATCTCATCCCATCGAAGTGTCTTCGGGATGGTTATCGAAGATTTTTCGAGATTGACTTCCATTAGGATTGACTCAGTTGAGAGGATTCCATATCTCATAAGGCAACCCTGGTCGAAGATCGTTGGTGTTCCTTGGGCAGTTTAGGCGAGAGGCCGTGAGTAAGACCCTGGATGGAACGTCCTAATTGGAAGCCAGAGAAGCCTTTACGATTGATATACAGAATCCGCAATCCTCGCTAAATCAGAAGGAGCCGGGTGACTTCATCAAAATTCAAAAGCAAGCATCCAGTCCAAAAACAGTCATATCAGCCTTTATTTTCTAACTTTTGTCAGTTTGTAATTATTTCCGCTTTACTTTATTTCTTTTCCTACTTTTTCAAAGACAAGATGCCTCCTGTCGGCCACGCTTATCTTTACTTTTATAAAGTAGATTTCTAAGAGATAAGATGCCAGTCATATTTTGCCACACGAATCTCCCAAAGAACCGGCTGCCAAAAATTACCACAGCTGGCCACTTTTGTTTTGGTTCACGGCCACACTTTTCTTTTGTGCAACAACACAAGCCGTCAACTCCCACGATTTTCTTCCTCTCACGACTCAGAACAAAAACAAAATATGCTTACCTATATAAGTATCTTACGGCAGACTTAAAAATTGAGAATGACTAAAAGGTAGTTGGGCCTTGTGTTTTCTAAGCCCAATATCTTTCAACACCCTCGTATATTTTGCATGTTTTCTTTTTTTTTTGTTCCCCACTACTTTGTCCCAGTCCCAACAAGGGGCACCGTAAAAAGTTGAAGGACGATCTAAAGAAGTTGGAGGCTAATGCCAATGCAGTTGTATTGAAAGTAAAACAACACCAGAAGACCAGTCATCAGAATGGGTAGTAGATAGTGCAGCTTTAGTACACATAGCTTCATACAAGAGATTGTTCACATCTTTCACTGTAGGCAATCATGACATTGTCAAAATGGAAAACTTTTGAAGACCAGAGTAATTGGCAACATTAATCTAAAGACCGACAGTGGAATTGAGTTGGTTCACCGAGATGTCTGGTACGTACCCTGCATCAGAATTAATTTAATAATTGTAGGGAAGTTGGATGACGATGGTTACAGAAGTGAGTTAGCTAGAAACATGTGAAAACTCACTAGAGGATATGAGTTAGTGGTTGTTAGCCACATGACATCTACGGTGTACACAGTAAGGTTTGGTGTTGCCAAAGGATGAGAGAGACATATAATGCAAAGTAGAGCTGCAAATGATTTAGAAGGATATAGGACAGAACTGACAGTAATGACAACCAAGATAGATCCATCAATTTAGGTTCAACAATTGGGAGGTTAGAGAAAGAAGAAGAATTCAGTTGGTTTTCAGGTGATAGCCTCAGTTATCAAACGGTTCAGCAAATTTATGAAGTAGCATAGGCGAAAGGAAACATCTAAGAAGAATATCACAGTTGCTGCTGAGGTCGATGTTGAAGTCTCTAGCTTCATAACAGACTTGAGTGGGAGTGTCAAGTTATCGAAGAAGAATTCTCTCTTTGGAATCATTGGTCGCGATCAAAGAAGGAAGCTTTGAGAGGTACCACTTAGTTCGAGTGGAAGTACGTGGCTGTGTCTTTTACGTTTGGGAGACAAGACCACGTAGGTTGCCTAGTCTCCCAGGCAAGCACAGGCGAAACCTTGGTTATTGTCAAGAAGATGATCAGGTGTTGTTGTTACAGTGGGAGTAGAACCTTGATGGTCTGCCAAGAAGATCGACACTATTGTTGCAATGATATTGATATTTTGTCCCCAAGTGGGAGAAGTAACTATTGTTGTAGTGCTTAGAAGCTAGGTGGCTATTGTTGTAGCATCTAGAAAGAGTTATAGAGTGAAGTGAGGTCCATTGTAATGTACATATTGCTGAAGACTGGATGTAGCTCCAAGCTTGGAGTGAAAGCCAATAATAAACCTAACATAAGTCGAAGAAAAGTCATTAACATAATTAATGTTAATTACATGCCAACATATGAGTAAATTATGACATATGGCTAAATTAAGTGGGTGAGTTTCCACAACTTATTTTAAAAACAAACACACACAAATGTTTTTTGTTCAAACAACTTCCTACAAGTCTAATATTTGTACGGTTAAAAGCAAAGAAAATCAACTCCCACAATTATCATTAAGATTGGAGCTAATTGTGGATCTAGATTATTTGTTTATTATTGTATAGGATTCTTTTCCTTAATTGTGTAATTAGCTAAATTTGCTTTATGTCTTCTTTATATGGTGGCACCCTTGTACACTAAGATAATACACGAAAATATATTCTTGCATCTTCCATTTGTTTATGGTATCAAAGCAGGTTTCTTGGTGCCTTTAGCCTTGCATCTTCCATTTCTTTATGGTATCAAAGCAGGTTTCTTGGTGCCTTTAGCCCTACACCTTCCGCCACAAGCTTTAACCAAATTTCTATTCATTCACCAACATGAGTGACACAAGTGAGAAATCACAAAAACCACAACAACAAGGTATTGTGGAGAAAGGGATCAAATTCCCCGATCCTTTATTCTTGCACCCTTCAGATACACCAGGACTTGTCTTGGTTACTACAACACTGGACGGACACAACTATGGACAATGGAGTCGCTCAATGTGTCTTAGTCTCAGTGTCAAGAATAAACTTGGCTTTATTGATGGATATGTGAAAGCACCAGCAACAACTGATGAAAGATTCTCAATGTGGAAATGTTGTAATGACTTGGTAATTTCATGGATTCTCCATTCCACTTAACATGACATAGCTCGGAGCGTTATTTTTCAGATACCGCAGCTGCAATTTGGAGTGAACTTCATGATAGATTTTCACAAGGAGATGAATCGAGGATTTATCAAATACGACTAGAAATTGCTGAATATCGTCAAGGATCCCTTTCAGTCTCGGCCTATTATACCAAACTTAAAGGACTTTGAGATGAATTGGGATCTTATCAAGAACTCATTGCATGCACTTGCAACATGTTGAAGGAAGTTGCCATTAGAGAGGAAAAAGAAAAGGTAATGCAATTTTTAATGGGACTTAATGAAGCTTATTCTCAGCTTCGTGGATCCATCTTGATGATGAGTGCACTTCTGGATACACGAAAAGTTCATAGACTAATCCTTCAACAAGAAAGGCAAATGGCAGTCGTTATGCATCGGGAAACTCCACCATTATCGCATGCTATACAGGTTGCAAAGCCAAAACAGACCACCAATCTCATTATTCTAATCACAAAGACTTGCAATTTATTTATTGTGATCAAGGAAGACATTCAATAGATCGTTAAGATTATTTGATTGGATATGGGCCACAAATGGCATGACTGATGGAACCTTAGACACGCACAGCGGAAGCTAAGGATCGTAATACACTTAATGAAGTAATTTAACTAAAATAAGCATGCTGAAAAATATGATGAAAAAGGTAAAGAGGAAGTGATTAACTTTATACCTTTGAAGACCTCCACTATAACTTCTTCTCCTAACTCAATGGGACCACCAATGGCAAATCCGTGCTATCATCAGGCTGATGAACACGCTTGTGGGACCGAATTATGAGTGAAAGCAAAGGGAAAGCACTAATGGCTAGGAGAAAACAATAGAAATTTGAGTGGAAAAATTTTGCACTTATGCAAGGAAGCATTAGCCTTCTCCAAGTGATCTTCATCACCTATATAAAAATCTAAACATTTAGGCCCGTTTGTTACCTATTTGTTTTTGGTATGTTATCAAAAATAGATTTCTATTTCTCAAAATCTATTTATCTTTTTAATACTCAACTTTCTTTTTCATATTTATCTATAAAAAAATCTCTCACCCTAGAATTTGTTTGAAAGAGATAGAGACAGGGATTAGTACGAGAAGGGAGTATAACATCCTCACTTACACCCACACCATTGTCATCTCTCCTCTACATAAAATTTTCTCTATTATTTTCAATTTTCTAACTTTTTAAAAATAGAAAACTAAAAATGGTTACCAAATATGTTTGGTTTTTGTTTTTCAAAAACCAAAAACAAAAATACATTATCAAAAATATATGGTTTTTGTTTTTTAAAACCACAGAACCAAGAACTAAAAACAAGAAAAACAAAAAACGGAAACAAGCCCTTAGCATTACTTTGCCAAACTTGCCTTACAATCAGTGGCACCAAAAATTCATTGTGTTTTAGATTTAGAAAGATTGTAAACAATACAATGAAGATTGTATAAGCGTAGACCGCAACATTTCTTATAATTTATCGGAGATACAAATCTATCAATAGATTAATCATATGAATCTGAATCCCAGTTTAATAGTAAACTTTCATTTTATGCGAACGAATAAGTGCATTGCTCCGTGAGACTATCAAAGCGCTCTTATCCCACTGTTTCCTAGAGGTTAACAAAGCTCTACACAAAAAATAAAATAAAATGACAACTCAGTCCAAGCAATAGCTTACGTTAGAACAAGTTAAAACTACAAAAATCCACAAAATCCGTTAGAACTTTAATCAGTAGAGAGAAAGAGAGGGATTTTGGCCATGAAACATTACCAAAGATGTGTGTGTGTCATCCTAACTAATTGCATATAACATTCCTTCATTCTTCGTTAGTTCTTTTCGGCATCGCTTTCATCGTCAAAAGTTTCGGTTTTGTCAGAGGAGTACTCCTCTTCTTGTTTCAGCTTGCTGCTGCCAGTAGTCTGTTTCGAAAGCTGATCTCTGTACGCTCTAAGTTTTGCTTTCTTCGAGTTCAAGACATTGAGAAACTGGAAGCAATAAAAACAACATTTATAGCCTTCAAGTAGAAACAAGTGATGCCGTTTCAGTAATAGACGTGTTATATAAAATTTGAAGCAAGTATAAGTTTAAACTACCATCGACATTCATTATCACAGAAACATTGTAACAAGACCACTTATCATCTCCTATATGCAGCAGAGGTGCAACACAATAAGAACACAATTACATATCACGTTTCTTACAAAATAGGATATGGCATGAAGAATATGTTCATCACTTTGAATCTTTTCATACATTTGAATGATTTTTCATAATAAGTTTCTTTTAGTTTATGATACTTACGAGACAATGGGATTCCAAGAGATAAAATATGTGAAGAAATTATGTTAATATACTTGTATGATAAGTAATCTCATGAGATCAGCTCATCAAATCCCACTCAATACCACTCAATACTTTAGCATCCTGAGTTGGGGCTTAGTGGTCAGGTCGGCTTAGTGGTCAGGTCAATAAGGATCAATGTAAATAGTAAAGAATTTAGAAGGAATAGGTTCAAATCATAGTGACCACCTACCTAGGATTTAATATCCTACGAGTTTCCTTGACAACAGAATGTAGTAACTGCCTTCATGGCAAGTTGTTGTTCAAATATGGTGGCAGTATGACAACAGAGACTGACCGAGTGACCATCCTCCAATTAGTGGAAGCCCTTTGAGGACCCTTTTCATAGGCCTCAAAACGCCCATTTTTTAATCACACTTGAAACAAGTGTGACATCAGTACTATTTACTGGCATATAGATATAGTCGAGCGGGTGGTATTCTTTTGATTAGTGGTGAGATAGGAGTCAGGAAAATAAGGGACCTCTAGAATCATCCCTTGGAAATGTTTCTCCCTCCCTCAAGTAAATAAATGAGTTCTATCAAATTCATTTTGAGCTGAGGACATATCGATATCCTAGTTAGACCTACCTATATATTGAACAAAGTCTAGTCTGGTATATCATTCATGTTGAGGCAGGGCGGGCAAACATAACTATCCTCCCCTATATCTCACTAAGGAACCAAAACCGATAACTTCCAACTATAATGTAGAAAAAGAATCCCTCTTACCAATTTCCCAAGTTCTAGAGTCTAGCAACCTTGATCAATGAGGCACGAACACATATGACCACTTGACAAGTAGAACAATGCCAATGAAAAGGTTGCCTGATTGTAGACTCAGATAAATACTCATTCTCCCTATATTGAAGTGTCTGGGGTAATAAAACTATTAGCTATATGATGGAGGAAGTGTTGTTGTTCCCCCCTTTTCGGGACAGGGGCCATTTTCTTTGGCAGGCGGGCTTTTTGGCTTCATTATAGGGTATCTGGCTAGAGAGGAATAATAGATTGTTTAGGGGGTGGGAAAAACGGTAGATTATGTTTGGGATCTCATTAGGTTTAGTACTTCCTTATGGAGTTCAGTCATCAAGGCCTTTTGTAATTATCAGTTAGGTCTCATTCTTTTGTATTGGAGCCTTTTTATTTAGGGGCTCCCCTTTGTTAGACTGTTTTTTTGTATGCCCTCTTTGTTTTTTTTTTTTTGGTATGTTTTTCATTTCTCTCAATGAAAGTTCTGTTTCTTATCCAAAAAATAAAAAATAAAAAACAAACAAAAAAAAGAAAATGCAATCATGTAAAGATGCTTAACGTTTCCACAAGACACATACTTAACTTTTGAAGAATCAATCAATAATTCCAAATGACATTTCACTGATTGAAATGGCGAAGAATAAAATAGACAGGGTGAAGTCAAACACAAGAATATGAAATTTTCAATACCTTTGCATAAATTGCAGTTTCGAACTCCACCTTTTCGCCACTAATCTTCTCACTTTGAGCCAAACAATTCTCAGATTCAACTTTCAGCCTCTCAAACGATTGTGTTTTTCTGACAACCTCTTCCTATACATACAAAAATCAAAGTTATAAGAAAAGAGAATGAAGTGCAATTGGCATGATTTTTACCAGGATCCGTAAAGAAGATAAAATAAGCAAAATAAATATTTAAAATAAAGAATGTAATGGACTCTTCCTCATCATTCATTCTTTAAACTATAAAATGCACTTTAATTTTCACAGTAATGAGTTTTCCTGACTCCTAACCAGAACTTAGAAGAGATAAGTAAGTTAATAAACCATCTATAATGGCTTTTGTTTAGTCAGTGATCACACAATAAAACCTAACAAAGGGCTGTTAACCATTGTTTTAAAAGTTGAATGCCAATGGGTCAAGGCACCCTCACCCAGGCGAATGCCTCTGTCCACAATTTTTTATTTTTATTTAATTTTCGATGAAACACGAAATCTGTTCTCCAAAAACCTATATATTAACAACAATCCCTTGAGAAAATCTTTCATTTCATTAATTTTTCATTATCTCGTTATTCTTTATACTAAACTTTCTTTTGTATTATTTGTATTTCTTGGGCTTTGCACTTAAACCCTATAGAGCTATTGCACTTCAATGTGCCTAGCACATAAGGAAACAGAGGCTCTAACTAAAATTCAATATTCATGAACTAGATACCATGGTGACTCTATCAGCAATTAAACAACATGCCCAAGAAATTAACAAGAAATACAAATAATATCTGAACAGAAGTAACCTTGAGAAAATCTAAAACATTGTAAACACAACAAGGAGGCATGATATTACGCTCAGCCTTATGTTGGCATCCATGAGAAAGTCCAATATTCCTGCAGTTGTCTTCTTATTATCAGATGCTGGTTGACAATTCCATCGCCATTCTAACTTCATCCCTTCTTTGTCAAATGTCCAAGAAAGCTACAGAAGAACCAGTACGAAATGCCAATCAAAGTGGTCCAAAAATTAAAATGAAAACATAAATTTTATTGTCAAGATAAATGAATCCCTGTTCCAGCATCATAATGCTATTATATCAAAACCACAAAGCCCACCTGAAAAGATGGATTAACCATAACCAAATTCTTAATTGCTACTACACTAAGAAATTTAAACCAAGGTGAACCTGATATAATAGGATATATCGAGTTGATCTTTTCAGTGCAGTTGCCTTGTCTTAAATGTTTTTTTTCCTTTTTTTCCTTTTCCTTTTTTTTTTAAAGAAATAAGAGGAAAAGAAAACACCTAACTCTTTAAAGATTCTCTTGGAAAATTCATTTCTTATAATTATTCATAATACTATGTTTTCTGGCACTTGATTTTTGTTAGCCTCGTGTTTAAGCTTGAGAGGCTATTCACATCATTGCATCTACATTTTAAAACTATTGGTTTTTTTTAACACTCCATTAGCACATTGCTATGTTAATTCACAGACACTAGTAGACCTGGGATTTTAAACTGTTCAGCCAAATTGTCCATTCAATTCGCTCTCTATTCAACAAGAACAAAGGCGTTCAAAGAGGTCAATTCTAAGTCAAATTGGAAGTTTATAGCTTTTCAAATAGTGCCTAAGCAACGAACAGCCGCTGATGGAATTTTCGCTACCTCATCAATTTTGACCAAGGAAGACAGAAAGAAAAAGACAGTTTAAGTAATCGAATAAGCACAAACCCTCTTGTCCCCATTTCCAGCGTCGGCGAACCCATAGACCGAACCAGGCTGCTGAAACCCTAAATGCCGTTCCGCCAACGCCACATAGTCCGAGGGTTCTTGGTCCCATTGTTCGGCGCGCAATCGAACCTCGTCCTCCGTCGCTGTGCCACAAATTCAGGGGAAAATATAGAAATATGAGATTGAACGCGTGAGAAGAGCAGAATAGAAGAGAAATTAGAGATAACGATAACAAGTGGTGGTTTGAAGAAATGGCACCACCATGGCAAGTCCAAGCATTGAGGCCGTCGGTAATGGAGAGATCGAAGCGGTGGCGAAACCAAGTGCCTTTGACGAAGAAGATGGAGCGGCTTTCGTTCGATTGCGCGATACTTGGCACTTCAAGCTTCAGGCATGTGTGCCTGATCGCGTCCATGGCGTAACGATTCTTCTTCGACTCTGAAAATGCGATGGCGGAAAGTGAAGTTATAATCAAAACCAAATAACGCAAGGCAAAAACAAACTTTTCAAAATCTCATTTCTTCTTCTATGTTCAACTTTTTTTTTCTTGACATATATTTAAAAAAAAAAATCACTCTAAAAAATTTTAATGCCTAAATTACTCACAACAAAAATTGTACTCTATCAAATATCCATTCCTAAAATATTTACTATTAGTTTTCCATTTCCAACATTTTGATGTCTATATATTTTTATTTTTTACTTTTTTTCTCTATTACCACTTCTATTTTCTCTCACTGCAAATGTAATATTTTTCAAGTTTTTTCCTCTCAAACTTTTTTTTTTATCATTTTTTCTCTCCGGTCTATTTTTCAAATATATCTCCAATTTTTCTCTTTTAATTTTCTTTCGCCCTAAATTTTCTTCATCTTTTTATTGTCTTTGTCACAAATATATCTCAATTTTTTTTTCTAAATCTTTTCTCACTATAATTTTTTTTTCTTTTAATTTTTCTTTATTTTACTCTATTTCTCTAACATTTTTTACTTTTAATTATTTTCTCTCACTGAAATTATTTTCCTATAGTTTTTTCTAAATATTTTTCTTTATTTCTCTAATTTTATTATCTCTACGATTTTCTCTTTAAAAAGTTTTTTTCTACCTCTTTACACTTTTATTTTCATATCACTTTAATGAAAATTGGTACCCAACCAGGCCCAACCTTGTCCTCAAAACTATTTTCAAATAATGAATATGTATGTTATTAACTATTTTTACTAAATTATCAATAAAATATTGAATAAATTTTTTAACTATTATTTTTACCGATAAATATTAATTGTTTAGCAAGATAGATATAATTTATATATATTTGCCAAACTGAACATAGCTCAAGTGGTTAATGCATCTATCTCTGATCAAAAGTTATGAGTTATTCTTCTTTATTTTTTTAAATTTCAAAAATAATTAAAATTAATTACCTAAATGGTTATTTTTCTTGCAAAGATCTGCAACCGGGTGGGGCGGGCCTAGAGGGCAATTCCCATCCCTAGCCCCATCCCCGCAATTTTGGGACAGGGATGGGGCGAAGGTTCCATGGACGCGAGTTTCCCGCATGACCTGTCCCCTATAAAATGAGGATTCCCTTTTTTTATTTTTATTTTTTTAAACAAACTTGAAACAGATATTTCTAAAAAATTAATATTATTATATATATAATAAATATCTAATATCTAATATTTTATTATTTATTATTTAAATATTAATGGGGCGGGATAGGGGACGGGACGTGGACCCCAATTGAGATCCCCGATTTAACCTTGTACTCAGTCAAATCGAGATTACCAAACCCGATCAGGTTGAGTATCCGTAGGGACCCAGCCTCACGGTTTTTTTGTCATCCCTAATCGCTATCTCCAAACGAGAATTCCTAACCAATTCTCAAGATTGGAGAGAATGAGGTGGAGACGGATTCAAAAAAATTTCTACAATGACAAGGCCATCATTAACTTCCACCCCATCCCATTATCACATGTACTTTACATAATTTTTTCTCTCTCTAACATATCGGAGTAATACCTCATATATCAATATATGAGTAAGTAATATTAATATTCATAGGGTTCCATTTCAAAACTAATTAGTAATGAGAGGAGTAGTTCATATCTATTATAAACCTTTTATTTTCAACGTAGGATCCTTAACCGATAAATGGCGATAAGGTTGTCCCAAAGTATTATGATTTAAACAATTCTCAACCATCATCCCACCATAATGGAACCTACATCGTAATTATTCTCTTCTCGATCTTTGATAACCTACCAGTAGACCCCAGTTACCAACAGTATAAATAGGAAGGTTGTCGTCTTCATATCCAAGTATATGTGTGTGATTAATAACTCATATTGAGAACACCTCGATGATAATACTGACTAAATCGTCAGAGCTTACTTTCTCTCTTTTTCAGGTGATATAAACCAAGATGCATTAGCCTTGCCGTGAGGACCAATCACTCGTTCAAGGGCCAAACAGTTACAGCTAGCATTTGATTCTCACACCCAAGTAGTAGTGAGCTCCACTAATGGACATCAAGTGGATAAAGATGGAAAAAAACTTTATTCATGGTGCCAAATGAATATACGAGACGAAGATGAAGCCAAATGAAGACACGAGAAGAAGATGACGGAACTTTGTATTAATAAAGTTATTATTTATTTATTTATTATTATTTTTTTTTTTAAATGGTTATCTATCTCATTTTTAGACCTTTTATATTTTTTTAGCACAATGACGTGGACATTGAATTTATCAATTTTTAGGTGTTTTTTTAAACTTAACTATGTCACATCTAATTGGGGGTAGTATAGTCTTTTAGCTTCCTTTGAGTTGTGAACAGAACGATCAATTTTGGACAGAATGAATTTGGAGTGTTTTATCGTGATGACTAAGGGTTCATTAACTTTGCAATAGGTTGCAAACCCGAAACATTCAAGCTAGGTTTGATCAACCTTCTCGTGGAGTGTTCAACCTTGGGTAGGGAACTAGTTCTCCTTACCTCTTGGCCTTCGATCATCAAGGTAATCCTCGTCTAATCTTGCCTTGGGATTGTGCTATTTGATCTGAGTTTTTTTTTTATTAAATTGACAGTTAGGGGTCCTCCGTGGAAGGGTTTTTATCTGTAATTTTCTAGGGTTCCATATCATTTGGGATTAGAGCTTAGGCTCTAGATTGGGTATATTTGTGTGTTTCTTTGTCTGGTTGATTCTAGCAAAATTAGGATTAATTATTTATTGGTTCTGTACTTCTTTTTAGGAGGGAAAAAAAAGAGAGATTGTGATATGGAGCGTGGAAATAAGAGAAGGA